AAAAAAAAAAAAAAAAAGGAACTAAAGGTCTGTTCCTCCCTGAAAGTCTCTTTCATAGTGTTGTACCTTTGATATTGGTGGGATTAAGACCTTCGCTCTTAGTGAAGAAGGTAGTGGTACATCAGAGCTGCTTGTCTCTACCTTTCACCAGTGAAAACAGATTTAACAGCTACTCAGGAAGAGTAGGGAGAAGTGAAGACATAACAAGTCAGAAAGCCAGCATGTGCATGTTCTTCTCTGAAGCCCTGCTGCTGTGGGTTTTTATTTGTACAAGAGCAAGTGTGGTGGCGCTCTTAGTTCACCATTTTTGTTCTGTGTGAGAAACGAGATAAGAGAGAACAGTAAGTGAAGGGAGCAGGTGGTCTCCATGGGTGGTAATTGTTAGCCTGTTTTCAGCTGTCTGTTCCCTCTCATCACTACACTACAGCTGTCTTAGTGGTGTAGTAGAGTGTAAATATTTACATTATCTCAGTTTGCTTTCCTATTGCGCCCTCAACCAGCACTGTGTTTCACCACATGCTCCTTGAGTGCCCCCTGTAGCATGGCCTCTGTGATGTAGGATCACTTGGCAGTCCATTTGGCTTGCTCTTTTGGTCTTAAATTGGCTTGTAGGTTACTACTGAAGGGTCCTGCCACTGGGGGATACCACCTTCAGGAGATAATGACTATTCTTCTTGCCAGGTAAGATATCTTAGCTATTTCTGCTTCTTGATGATGCAGTAGGATCAATGTCAAGTTATCTGTTCCTTCAGTGAACAGATTTGCCCTCTCTTTTGCCCCTTTTGGAAGGTCAAACTTGGACTCGCCTGAACTGTAGTCTTACATTTAGTATGAAATTTCCAGTCTTTACTATTTTCCTAAGAATTTATGGGATCAATTAGAAGATAATTATAGAAAAAACATAATAAGTATTTGTTTTGGGTAATAGTAGAATTACAGCCAGAAATTTCAGATCCAATGACACAACCTTACTTGGTAACTTCTTTGTTTTTAAAAGTAAAAACATTTCAGTAAGACTAAACAACAATGTAAACCAGCCACGGAGTAGTATTAGCTTAGTACGTGCCTTTCTAAGATTTGCATGCTTAAGCTATGGTGCATTTTAGGATTCTCTTCTTGCCATTTTTACTGCATGTATCCAACACTTTCACACAAAAGCAGTGACAGGCTCTTCTACATTTCACCATAACTGAGGCTCAAAATATTTGCTGTTTTTATGAAGGACTACTAGGACAAATAAGAGAGAATTAGAGCTTAGTCATATAGTCACTGGATTTCACTGGAATCTGATGACCAGGGAATAAGTTTTTAGTCCAGAAAATGCACAAATTGGGTTGTCACCCCTCTCATATTATGGGCTACTGGCCACTGCACACATACAGAAATTCAAGATTTGATAATGAAAATGCTAAGGCCACACAGAGACAGAAAACTGAAGTACGGTCGCCACATTCTTCATAATTTCTCAGGTTTATTCACATTCATGGTGTATACAATACACTTCTCTACTTTTTACTAGTGAAAAAGAATGTTTAAAATGAAGTCTTTGAGAAAGCTTGGTGTGTTACTCTGAGGTTTTGTATGTAGCTCCAAGAAAGAAGAGTATCACAATTAGTCAATCATGTTACTCATAAAAGGGCAGGATAAGGATATTTCTGATTTCTGTAAAATTAATCAAGTTTCAACAAGGTGTGATGTTGTCTGTGTGTGTGTGTGTGTGTGTGTGTGTGTGTGTGTGTGTTTAAAAAAAAAAGTAATTTTGTTTTAATTGTGGATGAATCTGTCATAGGATAAGACTCTTTAATTACGCTTCAAGCTAAAGAACCTATGGACAAATTCTAGAAAATGCATTAGTTCACTGTTGCCAAGTTTTAATGAAGCTGAATGTGTATGTCAACAGAGTAGGGTTGGTTTTTTTTTAAGGAGTTATATTGTTTTCTTATACCACATATGGTTCTTGGCACCTTTTACTGAATCTTTGACAATTTGCACAGTAACATTTCAGTTCTGTTTTGCCTACTTTGTTGTGGAGTATGTTATCTAAGGACCAGTAAAATAGATTGTGATAAGTTTTTTAATCTACCACAAGTTTTTGACTGACTTCTGCTCATTTCTGCCAAGCACAGCTTGCCTCCCATGTTACTTTCTCTGTTTCTGCAGGCTGCTTTGTATCGGCTGAGTGGGGATTGGAATCCTTTACATGTTGATCCAAGTTTTGCTGCTCTTGGAGGTGAGCTAAGGGATACCACTGTATTAATATTTGGATGAAGGATAGTACATGTATTTTTAATATTTTAATGTAGTCTGTACATCTTCAACAAGCTGGAAAAAAGTGCTTTTTTTATAGCTGTTCTTAGAGTCACCATTAGATGGCTTTGAAGTTCTGTGCTTTAAAGCATCGCTTCTTGTATCTATGAAGGCAGAATGATGCTTGGACACTACCAGCAATGAAAACCTGCCTCCAACCCTATTTTCCTTTCAGAGCTTATTTGTTGCCACTATCCCATCTTTACAATTGCTTTTTCATAAGCAGAAATAATCGACTATCAAAAGATTCAGAAGGAATTCCATAAATTCTTTGGTGGATAATTCTTTCCACCTATATAATTTCGAGTTTATGTTGGTCTCAGGGGAATCTTTTGAGCTTCTGTGTAGTCTTCTCAATTTCAGTAAATCTCAGGAGGGCAGGAGAGAGGGAGTTTGTTAGCACTTCTTTCCTATGAAATTATTTTAACTGCACTTATTGCTAGCGCAGTAGCTTGTTCATTTATAAAATGCTGCATGCCAAAGCAGCAGAACAGAGGCTAAATTAACTGATTCTTGCGGAGATGTAATTAGTAAAGGAGGGTCTCTTTTCTTATATTTCTGTTGTAAAGGTATTTTTCAGAGTTCTTTTCAGGCCCTGCTAGAATCACAAAATCATTAAGGTTTGAGAAGATCATCAACTATCAGCCTAACACCACCGTGCCCACTAAATCATGTCCTGAAATCATGTCTTAGTAGTATAGTGTGATTACTCCAGGCAGATAGTTAATTGATTTACTTAAATTTTACTTAAATTTTCCTGAATGAATGATTTCTTTTTAATATAGAGGCATCATTGCATGGTGTTCTTACCAAGATAAATGGAATAGAGCTATGCTTCCTTGATCAGATCATGTTTAACATACTTCCACAAATTATCTTTCATAAATACATACTAATTTTTTGGTTTACTCTGTTTTGTATAATCCTCTGTGCATTTGTGTTGATAAAAAATGATAATCAAATACCAGAGTCCATGAAGAAACTTCCCTGGTTTATTAAACCATTTTGTTTATTTGTTCAGCTGATGATTTTGGATAAATATTTAGATGGGATCACCCAGTTACTCTTGATGATGCAGGAGGAGAAAAATAAATGTTTATAATTGAAATCTCAGTGTTTAAAATAATGATAATCCTATAAAAACCTTGCAAAAGAAGAGGAGCAGAAATCTTCTACCTACTCACACAAAGACCACTGGCACTTAGACACAGTGAAAAATGAAATTAACACTGTAGATGAGGTGGTCTCTTCATTTGAATAGAAAACTGCCGCACTGGATTTTGGAACTGTGGCAGTCTGCTACTCAAATATTTATACTAGATGTAGGTTCAGGCAAAGAAGAAAATTACTGTAGGGATATTCTACAAATATGTTTTACTAGTTATACAAAAGCTTTTTTCTCTGGGCATATTCACACACCTTCTTCTCTAAAGAGAAGAACATTTCTGTAAATGTTCTCTTTGACTGGCTCTCAGCAGTGTGCTCTGGAAGCAAGCATTCAGTGTAATGTGCTCAGGTCATTCCAGGATTATTGTTAAGTCTTCTGGTGGGTAATGTTTCAGAGGAGATATACTACATGAAAACACCTGTTTCTGTTCTTGTGCCTTTATTCCTGTAGATTGCGAGTAATTCTTGGATATTAGAAAGTAAAAGCAACATATACTTTTTTACATTTTTCATTTACTTTTTCATTCTAGTTTAGATATAAAGTAAATTGATTGCTATATGGGTTTTTCTTTGAGTCTGCATTATTTTGTAAAGAAAACACTGGGGAGAATAGGACCATACAGATTTGTCTCTTTCAGAGTTCTAAAAATAGTAGTGGTTTTTGGTTCTTGCATGGTGAATTGAGCTAAAGCTTTTAAAGAGCTAAATGTCACTATAACTTTCTGTATTAGAGATACTGAATACCAGTATTGTTAAAATAATGCCAATAAGCTGTTTTAAAATTGACTGCACAGTATCTTTTTGCTTTCAGAAATACTGTATGCATAGTGTACAAAAATAGAGTGCTATTTAAATTGTGCATATTCAGATACTTTACAGGAAATAAATGACAGAATGGTCAGAGTGGAATACTTACAGGGAGAAAACAGACTCGTGTTCCTTTTAGCCTCTTCTGTCATGTCTCGTCTTGTAACCTAATGAGTTAGAATTTCTGTTTATTTATCCTTACTCCTGCTAGCCTTGTCTTCCCTTTGGGCTTTGGCTCAGAATTCCCATCCTTCCTAGAATTGAGTCCTAGTGGCTTTTTTGTCTGTCATGAAGGTTGTTTCTTCTTCTTCTATGTCTTCTGATACTCTGCAGGCTAGACTTTCTCCTGTCTCCTCTTTTTTGTTGGTCAGTTTGGTTTTGCTTTTGCTTTTGTTTTTTTCCTCCTAGCTATTGTCCCTTGGGACAACTCTTCATGCTGTGTAGATGCTGTGAGGAATTGTTTAGAGCTTAGGAAAAAGAGACTGGCATCTGAGAGTGGCAAGTGAGTTCCAGGCAAAGCAAGTGGTTTCGGAGCCAAAGCTGGACAGACCTGTCTCGATTCCCTGGCCTGTTGCAAATGTGATCAATTACTGTTCATATGCCCTGTCAGGTCAGAGCAACCTATTAAGGGATCAGAATGTACTCGGTGTAATCAGCATCTTTAAAACTTAACTGTTGCACTTTAGCAAATCTCAGGCCAGTTTTCAAAGGGTTATTTTGTCAGGCTTTGACAGGACTGTAAAAACATTCAGTGCTAATCTACAAAGATTATCTTCTGCCAAGGTTCAGCTCCTGCTCCAGAGCACTGAAGTGCAGGGGAAACCTGACCAGAGATGTCAGTATAAACAAAACAGTGTAACTTTTTTTTCCTCTTTTTTTGTTATGTATGTTCAAAATACCTGAAATCTTTTCAGAGTTTTTTCCACTTATAAATAAAGTAAATCCTGAAGTATGCACTATATTTGAAGACTTTTGGCAACCAAGAATAGGTGTTAAAAATGGGAAGCATCAAATAATGTTGGTATCACCGTTTTTTAATTACAGTACTCTTACCCTTGATATGCATTCTTCCATGTGTGCATCTGGTGTGCCTATACACATATACTGCAACAGCTAATCTCCTTATTTTTCATTTTGTCACCTCTAGAGACAGGGACTAATTCTCCTTCTGAGTCTTACGTAGCATAGGCAGTGTTTGAGTGCCAGTTCTCAGGAAGCAGTTTCCTTTCCCTCAAAGTAGAGGAAACAATAAATGGTAACCGATGCTTCTTCAGTGAGATAATTAGGTTAAAAAGAAAAAAAAGTAAGAACATTATTGGAAGAGAAAACTATGAATAAAATATAATAACATGCAAACTCCTAATATTACAAATGCTAAAATGTTACTTTTTGAAATAGGATTTAAGAAGCCTATACTTCATGGACTATGCTCCTTTGGGTTTGCCGCTAGACACATTTTGAAGCAGTTTGCAAATAATGATGTGAACAGATTCAAGGCGATCAAGGTCTGTGTCTTCATTGTTCACAGTTAATTTTCTTGATTTTTTTTATTATTTTTTTTTTTATTTAGGGTGGGAAAAGGTTTTTGCACTGTCTTCAGTGCCACAATTGCTTTTACTTACTGCTGCATGCATTTTAATGCCTCCTAGCTAGTATGTTTACTTTAAATATTTAGACTTTCTACATTGCTAGTTAACTGATTTTTCTCTTTGCTTTTTCTCATTTCAATAGACCCCATGCTTTTAAGCTTTTACTGTATGTATGGCGGATCTGTTCACGTGCCCACTTTTTTTTTTTCTTTTAGGTTCGTTTTGCAAAACCAGTCCTTCCAGGGCAAACCTTACAAACAGAAATGTGGAAGGAAGGAAATAGAATCCATTTTCAGACCAAGGTCAGAACACACTCACTGTTGTGGTCTTTAAAGGAAGATGTGTTGGTTAAAAGTATTGGAGTAAGAGAGGAAGTAAAAAAGTGGCTCATCAAGCACACTTGAAAAAGGTTTTGTAAAGACAGTGAGAGTGGAATGAAATATTCTTACTTATTTTATGGTGTCACTAAGATTGCAGTGAAAATACCGTTATACTCGTAAGACTTAATATACTCCTTATATTAATAATGTGAGATCTCATTTCATTGTATTGCATTTTCTGTGTTTCTTCCCTGTGGAAGAACAAAAAGCAGTCATTCTTAGGTCAGTAGTTTGTACTTGTTTTCTGCAGTTAATCATAACTTTGTGCATAAATCTTCTTTTAACATTTATCTTAAATCAACTCTGACAGTTTATGCAGGTAGACTTCTACAAATTTAGCTTAATTAAACTTAAGCTGCATGTACACAGAACAACTTACATAGTTTCATAGCAGTTGGACATAGTAACTACAATAAAATAGAGTTCACACTTTTATAAATTCAGGTTTTGCATTTTCTTTGGCATTGCTGTTAGCATTTTGTGTGAGCGTCCTGTAATCCTCTCATACACTTGGTTGGATACTTACTGGAAGCTTAATGTAAAATACTCCATGTAGAGGTGAAAATTCTCATAGCTTCAGTTGTAGTCTCCTATGACATTGTCACTTCCTTAAAATATTATTTGCTACTGCTATTTGTCAATATCTGTTGGCTTATGCAGATGCAATTTCATAACTGTGGCTGGCCAAAGTTTTACAGCCTCATATCTATAAACATGTAGTCAGCTGTTGATTAGTGAGTACAGCAGTAGGGATAGTTTGCAGCTGCAGGGAGGATTGGGCAGGCAAAATCAAATTAGGAAAGTCATCATAAGAACATAGCATTGCTGTTTCGGCAGCTTTGTGAAATAAATGTTGACTGGAGGAGGTAAATTTTGTTTGCAGACCTGTTCAGTGTTAGCAATTACAGAATTTCAGAAGTCTAACAATATTGCAGCTACTGTGTACAAATTCCCTGGTTACTAGTCATAAACAAGACAGTTTAGTGCCTCAAGCTTTAGAGATTACAGTACTGGAGATGGTGTATCTGTATTCAGAAGCTACTACCACCCAGTCCTGACAAAATTCCTGGACTTTGGGTATTTACTTTTGAGTGTTTGCATGTACAGTGCAAATTAGCGGAATTCATTATATGCTTCCAAGCCCCTTGGAATTTGTAAACAGAGTGGGATATTTTGTTGTGTTTAAAGGCTGGATTTGTTATTATGCTTCATTATTCATTGCTAATATGTAGACTTTTGGGGGATTTTGCTACAGTGCTTTGGTTTGGGGTTTTTTTTTGTTTTGTTTTTGTTTGTTTTTCCCCACAAGTGTGGAGTAACTTATTTTGGAGAGAAATTACCATATTTAACAGTGTTATAGAAAACCACCTCATTTCAACAGTTATGAATTGTGCAGCATTCTCTTTCTTATTGTATGTTCGGAATGGTTGGAAGTAAAGACATCTTTGTACTGGTAATAAACTCTGGTTAAATCAAACTAAAAGTAGACATGTAACTTCAATATGCTGGTTTAAATCCATTTTCAGCATTGTCTGAAGTGCAGTTGCAGTGGGTCACAACCTCTTAGGCCTGATTGGAATAACCATTATTATTTAGTCTTTCTGTATTAATTTCACCTGTGCAATAATCTAGGCTGTGACACTTGCTATTACTCTGCTTTGGCAATCTATTGTATAACCCTCTATGTGCATTGTCAGATAATCATTTTACTATCTTCTGTTTACTGCCATAAGTAAGCTTAGTTTGTCAGACCTCTTAAGTTGCCCAAATGAAACTCATTTTCTTCTATGACTTAACTATTTCAAAAAATAAAAACAGAAGGGTATTAATGTATTTTTTTGTCTTTATTCTTGTAATCTTTCTGGTTTTACAGTGCTTAAATGGTTTCTAGTGCAAGTTAGAGTGTAAAGCACCTGGAGATAGTAAAACTGCTTAGGTGAACTCTTGAGAACTTCATATCTACCTCAAGGAAAAAAAAATAAAATTAATTTCTCAGAACTATTTGTAAAGTAACATTAACAGTAATTTAAAACATTAGAGGTAAATTTTCAGATAAATAAGAGTTGTCTACCATTCTGTGAACAGAAAAACAGCAATATATTTTGGTATAATTTCTCAAGAAGCAAATAATCATTTTGTTTGAAAAGCTGTTTACAAAGCATAGTATACTAATTTTCCCTCAAGACTATAATGCATTTATGGAATGGGTTTTTTTCACTCTGCAACTTTGATTTATTTTTTTTCTCTTTTTTTCATCTCTGATTTGAAAATGTAAGGAAGATTCCTTGGTTTTCCTTCTGTTGTGTATTTTTCAAATACATTACCTCTTTAATGTATTTTATCCCCCACCACAGGTCAAGGAGACTGGAGAAATTGCTATTGCAGGAGGCTATGTGGATATAGTACAAACCTTGGATAAGACATCTGTTCAGGAGCCTCTGAAGGTAGGGGAAAACAATAGAAGTCTTAACTTGCAAAGTAGCATAGTTAGGCTTTATTTTTGTGAAAAACACAGGAAGAATACTTAGATCACTTACCAGTTGTATTTGCAGTACTTAGGTGAGTATACGAGTTCAGAGACTTGAACACACACATTGTTTAAGGTAAAGAGGTTCATGGATCCGTTTGAGGGGGAAAATACAGACATTTTAAGATACATGGGATGACTGATTAAGTTTGAAGTGGTTGATGCCAGTTGAACTGTTGGGATAAGCATTGTTCTGTATGTTACAAAACAAGTGAAGCATGCACTAGAGAGAGCCACTTGTTTTGAGCACTTGCATGACTTAAGATTGTCATTAGCTCTACAACTTGGGGGCGTACCTGTAAAACGAGCATTTTAGATTTTGTTTGTAGATGTTGAAGATCAGACTCAATGAAATTGTAAAAGTGTGTGACCTTTCTCAAGATTTCAGAGGGACAGGGAGAGAGTGGCAGGAAGGCATTAGAAGAACATAACAGTTGAAAAGGAGATAATGTATTTAGAGTAAAGAACAGTTTTGTCATTAAGTCATTTTGAAAGAAGGCTCTCATGGCTGTTTTTGGATTTGGTTATGCCTAACACATGGTACTCACTTTATACTGTGTATATATTTAAAAATCCTCTTCAGGCTTGCATTAAGGCTTGGGTACAGGACTTGCTGCAAAAGACAGAATTGTACATGCAATGCTGAGGGTGTCCTGGGTTCTTAAAGTGGTGTAAAAGGCATGGGTGCACAGTGTATTGCCTTAATAAATTGTATCTTTTCTTCCCCATTTATTCCTGCCTGCAAAGGGTGAAACTTTAACACATTGAAATTTGTGACTCACTGAGATAGTGATATTCATATAAAGCTCATGATGTATTCCTGGGACCTGTTTCTTTTTGGCTGGTTGTGTCTAGTCCTCTGACATTCTGAACTGTTGACAAATCTGCATTTGAAGTTCAAACATACAAGTATTAGAACTTTTCAGTGAAACGAGATTTTTTTTTTCCATGGGCAGAACATTTTTCTTTCTCTAAGCTTACTCTGAGAAATTAAGGTGCTTTGGCAGAAGTTTGCTGACAGAGGCAGGAATCCATCAGGGGAAACTAGCCTGTGTGAGTGGATGTTGGCAAATTTAGATGTCATTGAGAGGACTGTTACATAATGGAAAATGTTAGGCTTAACCAAAGAGGTGACAAGATAGCAGCATGAGAAGTATTGCATTCTGGTGTACAGTTACAGCAGAACAACTAAAGCTATGAAAGGTTTTTGCTCCAGTTCCAATTAGATGAAAAAAAATGTCACGGGAGCAGCTTCTTCAAGTGTAGAGTTTTATCCAGTACAAATATTTGTTTAAGACAGACAATGAAAGGCTAGTGAAATAATATGTGTTTGGAAAAGTTGAAAATATAAATGTAGCTAATCTGACTCTGAAATGGTAAACACATTGTGTCTACACTGGAATTCTGGCTGTTCACAGTGCAGTATGTTTTGAACATATTCCATATCAAGTTAAGGTAATGTAAAAACATTTTTTGTATTCTAAAAGCTAACATGCCATTCACCATGGAAAAAGTGGTAATGGTTCTTCTCTGAAGAGAATAAGGGGCAATTTAGAAGCCCTTAGAGCTCTAATTATAAAGTATATATTAAGTTGAAGTGATGAATGGCAAAACCTGCAAAAGCAAGATTTGAAATAATTCTCAAGGAAGAGTCTGTGAAGCATGTTCTGCTTGAATGTACTCTTTAACGCTGACAATTGCTAGAGGTGATTATTTGTGGTGAAAGAAATCTCAATTGCTTTTAATAATTCTGCAGTAGAGAATTTCCTGGACACAGTGCTTGAACTAATAGATAAATTTAGTACTTTTAAAATAGAGTTTCAATTTTAAATTCTTCATACTCGCTCTCTTTTTTTTAAGACTGCAGGGATGCAAAGTGACCTTGTGTTTGAAGAAATAAGTCGTCGTGTGAAGGAGATTGGAAATGAATTGGTAAAGAAAGTAAATGCTGTATTCCAATGGGACATCACTAAAGATGGAAAGACAGCAGTGCAGTGGAGTAAGTTGTAGCTTTTATACAATGTCCTGATGCATTTTTTTTAATGAAGTCAGATTTAATTATGCTCATTCCAGTTAAACTGATATCTTGAAAATAAGCCAAAGGTAGTAGATATTCACTGGAACCTAAAATCTGAATGCACAAGTGTCAAGGAGGTCAGATAAAGTTCCATAATGGCAGTTACTAACCTTTCTAGGAGCACACTTCTGTAATTTGTTTAGATGTAGACATAGGCAAACCATCCTCTTTTCAGTGCATTTCTATTTCTATTTTCCAGAATAGATTAAGACTGCACTTAGAAAAGCAGGCTGAATTAACCTACTAGGAGCTCTGGGTTACCGTAATTAGTCTGCTGGGTTGATGAAGAGAGCTTAAAGCTTGTAATAGCAATGAGTCAGAGGGAAAGTGTTTCTTGGTAAAGTGGATTATACAAGTATGTGAAATGGTCAGATGGGGTAAAACTACTTCTAAAAAAACCACTCCTCTTCTTAAATTACCTAGTGCTCAGTTTCTCAGGTTTGTGTAGACCAGTCTGATTTTATTAACTGGATATATTTCATTGCCTTTGGAATTATTCAAGTTTTTTGCTGAGGTGTCCTAAATGGTCTCTTAGCCAGGTTGAACTTGCAGGCCTTTGCTTTTTTTGTGGAGAAATGCAAGTCTTGGGGTCAAATCTGTCACTTAGACTGCTTCATTTTGATTGGTCTCAATGGTTGGATCCAGTCAACAGTTTTGAAGGAGATACAGATGAGGTAAGGCCAAGGGGAAAGAATGCTTGTAGGTCAAATCAGGTCTGCTTACTGCTTGATCACATAGACTGTGACTTCTTAACTGCTGTTAAGTCTTTGCAATGTCTGTTCTCAATAGAGGCTATTGTGTTTCAGAAACTGCTATTCTTTTTACAAAGTGGTTTAGAAACCTGTAATTTCACTTGCTCTTTTACTAATGCTAACCAGCAGAGATTCTGAGTAACAAGACTGCTCGGTTTCAGGAAAGATATACGTAGGTTGATCAAGGTGATTCTGTTCTACCTGTATTGCCTTTTAAGTAGTTTTTGAGGGACAAGTGGTGATTTTCTCTTGATTAGCAGTTAATCAGTATATGCCTGTGTAGATATTGCAAGCTGAGTACCTATACATAAAAATGAAAGGGGTGTAAATAATGCATAGTTGACTCAGAAGATCTATCTTAAAACTCATTATTGCTCTTAATGATTCCTACCATCTACAATGTTCTGCTTTTACACTCAGTAATTTTAACAATAGGCATGCTTAGAACCCGGATAGAAGGCTTATGAAGTCTTTCCTGTGTTCAAAGAATCACAGAATATTAGGAGTTGGAAGGGACCTCAAAAGATCATCCAGTCCAACCCCCCTGCCAGAGCAGGATCACCTAGACTAGGTCACACAGGAACGCATCCAGAGAAGGAGACTCCACAACCTCTCTGGGCAGCCTGTTCCAGTGCTCTGTCACCCTTACAGTAAAAAAAGGTTTTTTTCCTTATGTTCAGATTAAGCCTCCTATGCTCCAGCT